TCAACTTCTTTATACAATAAATTTTCACAATCATGATGTACCCTGCTCTCAACAGTCCTAGAGTTAGATCTATTATATTTATCTTTCATGGTAAATATGGCTCATAACCATCCCAGGCAGATTATGTTCAGGAAATCAGTCTGGTCAATTTATCAGAAAGAAAGTGTAAAAGTTATATCAGATTATTTGCTCTGAATTGCACAGAAACTTAAAATTTACATGCTTCCAAACCTTGTATGTCAAAGCCGAAGAAATTAAGGTAATATTTAAAAGTTTTGAATTCTTTCTTTTTAACCGAGCTATGAAAAAGTTTGCTTTCCCTAGAGCCCCAACCATTTTGTACAATCTACTTTCATGATCATAATACTACACTCAACCCCAGAGGTCCTGCTTCCACCGTGAAAAACCCACTGTGTCCTGAAACAGATGGCTAAGTACATTTATATGTAATGTTCTTAAAGATTCATGACATCTCCTGGGTTAGAACACTGCTGACACACACAGGCACGCTGTAGGCACATTATTACCAACAACTCAGAGACAAAGCTAGGCACAGAAATACTAAAGAATTCTGATGGTGCCAATTATTACACACAAACCTATGCAGCACATGAAAGAAACTATATATTAGTGCATGTGGCTAAGAGCAAATAAAGAATGAATAGGGGAAATCTTACAAGTCAACATTTTGTGCACAGTAGAATCTAGAGTCACCAGATTAATAAGCTGATCGTGGAATTGTTACCATATAGTTTTACAACTCTTAGACAGTTATCAGCATGTCGAATTCTATGTTACACCTCAGGCTAACACATCAGTTCATCAACCCCTGGCTAATGCTCAAGAGAACACTGCTCTTCTACATAATTTGTAGTATTAGCTTCCAATCATTAGAGTAGATTCACTATGTCAATATCTGAGCTTATTTGTTCACCATATAGTTTTTGAGTATATACTATGTGCTCCAGGCTTTCCCCTAGACTCTGAGGATCTGGCAATACAGTAAAGATTTCTGATGTTGTGAAGCTTTAATTTTATGTATAACTATCTAGGGTAATAGCTGAACAAAGGTCATCTTATTGACCTCATAATACAAATGCAAGTAGCTATTATAGTACACTGTGGAGAAAAAGAAATAAATAACAGTAGAAAGATAATTATTTGACTATAGATATAAGGATGACACACCTGAACTATCTCCATTTTCTAGCTTTCTATCAACATCATTTTCAAGAGGTTTATTAGAAGAATAAAGTGTCAGATAATTTCATGAACAGATGAGTCATAGCCTTGGTGTATCCAACGACATTGTCTCAATTCCTTTGTGCTAAATATGGAGTTCTATAGCCATCTATCTAAGGTCATAGGATACTGCGGTGGATATTAACCAAAGCCCAACATTGTGCTTATCTTGGCAAACATAACCGCAACAAAATTGTAACTGTCTGGCCAGTGACTAGCATGCACCATACCCAAGCTGCTGGAGCAGAAAAAAACAGAGAGGACAGCTACAATTCAGCCATAAACATTTCCTCTTATCAGGGCTCCATTTCCCAGCAAAGAGCAAGTTGTTTTACAGGCTGGCAAAGGGTACTGTAAATTATATCACCAGCCCACATCTGATGAGTTTATATGTATACTGGGTACAAGATATCTGGCTCTGTCACCACCACATCAAGCTTGCCAAAATTGCACGTGAGTCACAACCGGAAAGATGCTGCTAAAACTAGAAAGGAAAAGGCCAAGAATAACACTAGAGTAGGAAAAAGAAGGTACAGGGTATGTGAAACTAATTCATCTCTGAAGTCTTCCTCTTGGAGCTGTTTTTCTGACTCAGTGACCCTGCCCAGCAGGTCCTGAGTCAAAAATTAATGACATCATGAACCTCCAGACAACCAAAGGTGTGTCTGAGGGATGGGCAGAGAGTTCTCAGCAAAAAAATCCCTCAATTTACTGTACCACCCTGGAAATTTTCTGATTTCTTATTTACTTTTCTAATGAGCAAAAGCTAGCTCTGTTATCAGCTTTTAATTTTGCTTTTATCTTTTTTCTCTTGTAGTTGCACTAGAGTCAGTTTTCTAAAATCAAATCATGTCACTTTTGTGTCAAGAACTTTCAAATGCACCACAGTTCCTGCTTACTATTGAATTCTAAATCTCAGATGATTCCGCTCCAGTCACATCTGTGGCTAAATCACCAACCCCACTATACCCCTTCACATTCGCCATGAAAGATGCTATTGGTTCTTAGAATGTACTCCACTCTTACAATGTAGCTTTGCTCAGGCTACCATCTGCATGGAAGTTCTCTGCCTGTCTGCTAAGAGTATACAAGGCTTATTGACTCTACTTTCAAAACAGAATCAACTGTCCAGCCCAAATCCTCTATCTGCCAACAAGACTTCTAAAATCATCTCCTAATCACTCCCCCCTACTTTCATTTTTTGCTTTCAATTATATATTCTCTTGGCAGTCAGAAGCATCACTTCCTTCCTTCGTTATACCTTCCCATGTCTTCTTAATGCACTAAGAATAGATTTATACCCCTTGGCTGGCACATATGGTACTACATGACTTATTTCCTTTCAACAGAATGATCATATTGTCCAGGCTTGGCCTACATAGTCCATTTCACTTCTGATGTTCTATGGTAATTATTAATATTACCACCTCTTACTCGAAAGTGTGCCACTTTAGACTTAAAGTCACCCAATAACCCTCCTTTAGAGCTCATCGTCTTCCATTCTCCCTTTATCCACTACACGCCAGCATGCTAGCCTCCTTTTTTTTTAGAACACAAACATACCAATTTGCTCTTGCATTTGGGCATTCAGCCAACCTGTGCTTCATTGTGAAATGACCTGCTTGTTTATTTTGCACGGCTGGCTTATTTCCTTCTCATTCAGGCCCTACCCCTAATAGTTTAACTATCACCTCAGAAAGGTATACCTCAGACGTACTGTCAAATTGCTCCCCTCTCCAGGCCTAGTACAGCATATCAGCTCATGCATTTTTCATCACAGCCCTTAGATTATCTCATATTTTCATTCATGTGCTTATTGGAATCTGGCTTCTAGAATATTAAATTCCATAAATGTAGATAACTTTTCTTTTTGATTTACCACTATGCAGCCATTTTCTAAGAGTAGAAGGTGCTCAGTCAAACAGATTGTGGATGAACAAAAGACTGAGCATCACCTTGTGAAGGTTGTAGGGTATCTTGCCGTCTCAGGTTAAGACTGATCATCCCTTCTATCCAGTACATACATTCATTATTGGCAGTGCCCACAAGACTTCTTTTGTGAGTATTTTAGTATAAATGGTGGCCTCTCTCTTAATATTGGAAGCAAACTAGACAGCCACATATATTTTCTGTTTATCTTTTGTTTTGGTTGGATTGTTGCTGTTAAGCTTGTTATCTCTAATTTACTTACAGAAAATTGCAAAAAGTATACCAAGAATGTTTTATATTCCTTGCTCTACTTATCCCAATGCTAACATCTTACACTACCATAATGTGATTATTATTAATAGCAAGTACATATTGATACATTTTAAATAAACTTCAAACATTATTCAAATTTTATCATTTTTCCCCAATGCTCTTTTTCTGTCTACAGTATGTTATTTCTCCCTCGATTCCTCCAGTCTGTAACTATTTCTCAGTCTTTCCTTGTCTTTTAAGACAAAGAGAAGTACTTTATCAAAAATCCTCAGTTTTGGTGTGCCCAATGTTTTCTCATGATTGGATTGACGTTCTGCGGGGTTTTTTTGACAAAAATACAAAAACTGCACTGCATCCCTCTCAGTGCATTGTATCAAGAGGTTTGTGACGTTGATATATCTGGTTCCTGATGGTGTTTACTTGACTATCTGATCAGAGTTCGTGTTTCTTAGGTTTTCCACTCTTCAATTACTGTCTGTCTTTTCTAGTTGAGAAGTACACATCTTGGAGATGACACTTTGCACTTATGCAACTCTTGTTTCTCCTCCATCTTACTCATTAATTGCAGCACCCATCAGTGGATCTTGTCTATATTTATCACCATACTACTGGCCTAAAGGTAATGTTTATTTGCCTCTTTCCTAATCAACATTTATTAGTTGGAACTCTACTGTGTTCTTGTTTTTAACTTTTCAGTACACACATTTTGAGGGTGAATGTATCTCCATAAGTGCACATTATACACCATGCAACTGAGGATCTGCTCAGGTGTCTAAAGACCTGCTATGTGAGGTACTGGCTTTCTGAATGGAAAACTCACTTAACCCTGAGTCTGTTTCCCCACTGATAAAATAAGGATGATATTAGTGTAACTCCTAAGGCTTTAGGGTGGACTAAGTTCATTCCTTTTTCATTCACGCTCTGGAAATACAACAAGAGAGAGAGAGCATGCACCTGACACCTTAAGGCATTTGAACCCAATAGCTATCACATACTAAGCATAACAAAGCTGCAAAACGGCAAATCATAGTTACAATTTGTAACAGCAGCACTCCCTGGTCAATCTTAATTTTGTAAGGATTTCAACAAGCTTTTGGTTAAAGCTCAGGTTGAATTCCTCACCAACCAGAGCAATCTTTTCAGTCTCCCTTGACATGAGCACAGTCAAATGTGTGTGCTCCTGCTGCCGGGTATGAGATTTTAATAATTAATTTTACTCAAACATATCCAAATCCTAGGGGGTAAGGCTGATTAAAAAACAAGTAAAACCTTTAATAAAAGGTAAATGTTAAAAGTTCTTACAGGAGGGCCCTCCTCTCACTAAACCACTCTCTCTAGGCTCCAGTCCATAGAGGAGCTGGATATCACTGTCACATGAGACAGAGGAAATATTTGAAAATGGAGAAAACTGTAGCTGGTAAATGTTATTGCCAGCTCTGGGAGGGAGGATGGCAAGGCTAATACTGACTAGCTAGAGCTTGGCAGCCCCTGGGGAAACCTGCACTAGCAGGCGAGCCCATTACACAAGCCAAGTCCAAATGTCACTCTAACATTTGCAGAGCTGTGTGTAACTGCTTAAGGAGAGGTTTTGAACCAGAAGGTCAAGGCCGGAAAAGCTGTTTGGGGAACCAAAGAATGTGCAGTCATTCCGAGGAGCCATTCTTTTCTTTCCATGGGGGCAGGCTCTGTTTTGTTTTGTTTTCTATTAAGCCTTATGGTCTTTTCTGCCTGCTGTTGCTCCTATAGGCAGGTGATCCTTCAAGAATGCAAAGGCCAATTTCTGGTCAGATTTCAGCAGGAAAGGTGAGATTCAACATTGCTCCGAATACTGTATCAAACAGACTGTTTTCTTTTGGTTTCAGTTTCATTTTTTCAGTTCCCACTTGGCTTACGTGTTTGTAGCTGGCACTTGATATTTCAGCATTTAAACATTCACAGTTGGGACATTTTCACAAATAGTCTGAATACTTGCGCTCTGTGGTCATACGTCATTTTGCTGAGTCATAAATGTCAGTCTCACTGGGAGCAGGGAATGTAAGAACTCGGAAAATAAACCCAGTGGAACACTCAGAATTCATATTCCAGTGATGAGAGGCATCCTTCATTTGATTTTGAAATATTTAAAATATTCAAACAAGTGGAAATAATAGTATAACTAGTATCTGTGTGTGACCCATAATCTGGCTTTTGTTCATTCCTAACACTTTCGTACATTTGTTTCAGATTGTTTTTGGAGAAATGAAATATTACAGGCACAGATAAATACACTTGTTGCAATCCTACTTCCCTCTCTTTCAGAAACAACCTATTTCCTGGGACTTTCAGCATGTCTATGGAATGTTTCTATATTCTTAACGTGTATGGATTTATATATAAAGTATTTTGAATTATTGCACATTTTTCCAAGCTTTATAAAAATGTTATTCTGTATGTATTATCCTGTAATTTCCTTTTTTCATTTAACATTATGGCTTTAAGTTTCACTAATGGTAGATGTAAAGGGAGTCGGTTTTGCTCCAATGTTGGATCATATTTTATTTTGTAAAGATGCCCCAATGTATGTACTCTTAGTTTAGATTTTTTCTTATTTTTTTAACATTACACTGTGCATTCTAGCAACTGTCTACATGAGAACCCTTTTGCGAGTTTCTCTAAAGCATTTACCCATATAGGTAATTGCTAGGCCAAAGGTCATATATAGCTTCAACACTAAACTGCCTTCCAAAATGCTTAGCTCAGTTTGCACTCCTCTTCTTTTAGATCTGGGTTTCTTAATTCTTCTCTTTGCCAGCACTGAAATATCATCTGAGTTATTAATTTCTGCTACTCTAGTGATTTGAAGTAATATCTCAACATATTTGCATTTGCAGTCTCAAGATTATTAGGGTGGCTGTATGTGCTTTTACGTTCACTATCCACTTCAGGTTTGGAATCTGTCATTTACTCATGAATATCTGGGATTTTGTTGTCTCTTATTGACTTGTAGGAGATCATTGTACAAATTATGATACATTACACAGATTGCCACTATTTCTCTCAGTCTAACACATCTTTTCTTGAACCTAAATTTTAAATTTAGTTGTAACCAAATTCATCCTTTTTTATGATCTGTGCTTCTTTCTGGCACTTTTTAAGAAATCTTTCTCACCTATTCATCATAAGCTAATCACACTTGTTTTCTCAAATTTTTACACTTTTTGCCTCTTACATTTAAAATACAATATATCTTTCATTAATTTATTTTCATGTTTGAAGTAAAGATGAAATCTACTTTTTTTTCCATGTGGAAAACCAATTATCCCAGCACTACTTATTGACTAGTAGTTTGTTCAGTAACCATTGATCTGTAATACTGATCTGGTCATGTATCAGTTTTTCACACTGGATGGAATAACTTCTGAGATCAATTCTATCACAGGTCCAGGGACCTATTTTATGCCAGTGTTTCACTATCTTCATTATTTGGGGTATTAAGTACATCTTGATATTTGGTAGAGCAAGGCATTTCTCTTGGTGGTCTTTTTTTCCCTAGACTTTTCTTGGCTATTTTTGGCCTCTTGAACTTAAATATGATGTACAGGATAAATTTTGTTTGGGTCCCAGAAAAGAATCCTGTTGGGCTTTCAAGTGGAATTGCACTGGATTTATAGAATCATGTAGGAAGAACTGGTATTGTTATATTATCAAGTCTACCCATACTTGAATATGATATTGATGATTTATTCAGGTATTTTATAAACTTCAATATTTTTTCTATAAAAGTCTCCAATTTTTATTACTTTATTCTTAACTGCCTTATATTTAGCTATCGCATATGGTAATTTTTCTGCTCTGCATTTTAATTGGTAATTACAATAATAGAGAAAGGCTAATTAAGTTTATATGTTTACCTTCTATAAAACAAATTTGCTGAAAACACTTTTAGTTCTAATAGTTTCCTTACAGACATCCTATGGATTTTCTACACATAAGAGAAATTCAGTATAATCCTCTCCAATACTTATGCTGCTGATTTTTTTGGCCTAATTCCATTGGCCAGTTTCTCCATTTTGATAATCAACAGAAGCACCCTGATAATAAAAGCATCAGCAATGTTTATTCTTGCTTTGTTCCTAGCCTGAATAAACAACATGATGATCATTATAGGTTCTTGATGGCTTTCCCCTTTCAAAGGCAAAAGTTCTCAACCAATCTAAGGTTATTTTTAAAATAATAAACATATACATGGACTATGTCAAATACGTCTGCATTAATTTAATGATCTCATTTTTCTTTTCTCTTGAATATCACTGTTATCATCTCATTCAGTCCAGCTAATAAGTTTCCTGATGTATCATTCTCACATTCTTGAGTAGACACACTCAGTTATGATTTTTAAAATACTATTAAATTTGCTTAGCGTTTCCTTCAGAAATTTCATTAGAAGCACACCCCGAGATACTATACAGTTGTGCACTGGATGGACTGTGCTATAACAGGGTGAAGCCGAGTCTGTGTTGGTTCCCATCAAAGTTAATTCCACTGTGACATGCCCAGGGTCTTCGTGGCAGGTGGTCTCCCCAATACAGAGGGCTCATGTTTGGACTCCGGGTCTACTAGGTTTCAATAGTTAAAACCTATATGCTAAGCATGTTGCAAGTGAAAACTCACTAGGTGCAAGATGAATGAAAGCTTTGATGCTTGAATAAAAGAAAAGCCGGAGGGAGAAGGAAATAGAAAGGAGGGGGAAGAAAAAAGAAAGGAAGGAAAGAAGGGGAGGAGGAGGAAATTCTTAGTATAAAATTTCATAAGATACTTTGTAGTAAAATACTTTGTTGAGAGTATAATAAAAAAAATCTGAATAAATTAACTTCTAAAAAATTAATCTTATTTCAGACATGCTTTAAGAGGAAAATACAATTGTTCCAATTTTTTTGATAAAGAGGTAATTTGTTCATGTGACAAATGATTGTATGTTTGCCCAAATTTAACTTCACTGAGGAAACAGTGTCTGTTTCATGTCATTTTATAATATCTCATGCCCTTCTTGTGTTCTTTGAAGACTTAAGGGGTTTCTATTGTTATAATATAGGGGCTGCAGGCTGTGAGATTCCTGAACCCTTACAAGCAATCTCAGTGCATGTAATTCTTCTATTATTGAGAAATAAGAAGTATAAATCACTGTTCAAAAAGTTGAAATATAGCTTTTGATATATACCAAATGCTTTTCTCCTGTTGACTGTTACATAAATTCTTCAACTTTCAAGCCAAAAGACAAGAAGTATTGAACTTTGTTTTAATGAGGCCAATCTCTTCATAAGTTTCTGAGAGGATCTTTCAAGCTAAAACTTCCTCTTCTCCCTCCAAATGCATTGCCTGATTTTCTTTTAAGCAATCAATAAAACAGACAAAGGAAGTGCTTACCATGATTTGACTAGGGGGAACTGTGTAAATAAACATAATAGTTGTTTCAGGACATATTTGGGAGGCAGTTTGTTTATTGTCTAAGAGTAAAGAATCTAGCCCCAGAAGTTGAAATCTAACTCTCACTACTGCTTTCTGTTAGCTGTGCAATATTCCAAAAGTTACTACATTACTAAGTCTCAGTTGTGAATGATATCTGCTTTCTATAGCTTTAGTGAAATTTAAACATGATGATTTTTGTTAAATGCTTGACAGGGTAGCTAGCACATGCCTAACTTATAAATATTAGCTCTTCTTAGGGTGAGAATCAAATGCTCTGGCAGATAAAATTATGGGCAGAAATCAAGAAGGACCCATCATACAGAAGTGTAAAGAGAGCAAATTGCTTAGCATAAAGCTTATATTATTTGTATTTGGAGTGTTAGGGAAATGGAAGGGATTAAAAAATGGTACTGAAAATCCTTGTAAATCAAATCTCTACCCCTTGCACTGTTCTGTGTGATCGTATTAGTGACTGTTGATGCTGAAAGATGAACATCTCATTTAATACATGGAATGAAATCAATGAGCCTCTATGGGTTCTGTGATGTGGAAGGAGGAGACCAGGTCTTCAGGGTCTTCTGGATAACAAAGATTTCAGATTTTATTCTAAGTGCAGTAAGAAACCACATGCAGGCTTTTAGCAGGGAAGGAACAGCACTTGGTTAATACATGTGATCTCAGTTAATTTCATCTGTAAAAATGAAGGCCTTACACTAGGCCTGTGGTTCCCAAAGTTAATTTCCAGATCAGCAATGTCAGCATCACCAGGAGCCTGTGAGGCAGGCACATTCATCCAAGACCCACAGAACTAGGAACTCAGAGCACGGACCCAGCAGGCAGTGCTCTAAGGCCCTTCTAGTGGAATCTGGTGCATCCTCAAACTTGAGAATTTCTGGATGCCACAAACTCAGGAAAGTCACTCACGAAGCAGGTCACAAGCCCCAGCAAAATCCTGTAGGAAGCAGGCCACAAATCCCAACAAACAAGACTATCTTGTATTTTCATTGCTTTGCTGGCCAGCATTTTGTTTTCAAGAGGAATTATTCAAAGAAAAAGAAACAACTACCTAATGTACAGATCTCATGTCAGCACATATTTTAGATCATGAGCCAAATATGTAATAAGATGACAAAGGATTAATACAATGTCACATTGACCTATGAATTTCTTCTCATAGTTATTAGAATGAATTTCCCTAAATCCTATATCTCCCTATATGATCACCTACCTGGGTTTATAAAAAATTATGAGACCATTAGGAGGATTATATCTGTCTTTATGTTATATAAGGATTGACACAAAGAAGATATTTAATCAGAGGTAGGATAGGGAAATGAAAGGGCAGACCCTTTGAAAATGCAAAAAAGTAAGTTGGAATTCTGGTTTCACTAATGGTCTAAGAATCAGAGCTAAAATGGGGTAAGGGCCTAGGAGGTAATTAGGACAATCTAAATATAACAAGCATTATTTATTCTTTAAGAGCTATTCATTTAAAGAGACCTATGGCTATGTTCAGATTGCATTTTTCAGACTGTATTTTATATAGCCATCTTTCAAAGTCTACCATTCTAGGTGTGGATGTGTGACTTTTTGAAAGGGACTCTTGGATCATGGATCACGTTTTGGTTACTTTCCTCTCACTGCTGAGACAAAATGCCCAACACACAAAGTTAAAAGGGGGAAAGGTTTATTTGGCTTAGAGTTTGTAGAGGTTTGAGTCCATAATCAGTTGGCTCCATGGCAGGATGGCAGAGGGGTAACAGTTCATGGTGGCAGAAGACAGCAAAAGCAACAAGAGACCTTAAAAATCTTTCTGCCCATTTCATTTTATTCAGACTACTTAGGGTGGGAAGCATTCACACCCTTAATCCTAGTGCCCTAAGGCCTAGCCCCACCATGAATCAATCACACTCTCTAGATTCAGCCACCTCTAAAAACGCATGAGTTTTTAGGAGGACATCAAAACACAAGCTATAACAGACCATTTATGATATTGGTTCTGGGCAAGTTCCCCAGGGGTTAACAGAATCCAATAACCTCTCCAAATAGAATTATTTTTAAATAAAGACATTAAATAAGGTCTTCTGAAACAATTTTTCACATTTGCATTATGGCTCACAGGAATGAAATGTTATTGTGTGATAAGGTGGCCTGGAATATTCCACTAGGTCAATAAGTATCTCAGACGCATAAGATACTAAATGCTGATTATTATAAAATATTCTCTTTCCATTTTAGTATCCACCAATTTTTTAAGATGGGCATGTTGATTTTATGATTTATGCATATACATGTATACACATATGTACATATATACACAAATATGCATGTAAGCACAGGTACACATAAATATTAACACAGGTATGCATGTGTTTATAAATACTGAAAGAGAGAGACAAAGAGATATCAATCTTCCCTTAGGGAGCATAAATTCAAATCTTTTATTACAAATGATCTCTCCACCACAAGAATTAGGTTTTGATCCTGGCATTTAACTATTCTAATGCTATATGACTGTTAAGTCTTCTGAATGCAGCATCTGGCAGGGCTAATTCCATATTTCTGGGAAACCTTATAGGAGCTAATAGCAGACATAAAGGATGCAAATTTAAAAGACAAGAACAAATAATATAAAGATAATTAAAAGTTGACGGAGAAAACTAACCTAAAATAAATGTTTTGTTTTTTTCAGGCTGGTGAAGATGTCAACTTGAGGAAGGGTGTCAACAATAATTACAGCCTAGTGTCAGCATGGATGCTAAAAAGACTACAGTACACAACTTAATTTGTGGTTCTTGACTGAAGCTTCTGAACTTAAAATAAAAATTTGAAACAATAAAATAAAGCTACAAGAAGGTTTATAAACACAGGGCAGGGAGGGAACTGAATTGTACACTGGTTCCTTTATCCTGCTGTCAGAGATCTGCCCCGCCTCATTGCTCACTTTTGTAAAGTAGTAATTATCAGGCTGGTAGGTAGCTCACTTGTGCTGGCCTGGCTGACACTCCATGCTCTCTTTCTGTGCCCATGGGGAGGAAGTGCAGGGAAAGGACAGAAGCAGGTATCTTGGCTCTGCAACAGTCAACACTCTTGAACCCACAGATTCTCCCTTCAGCAATCCAAGGAGGTAGGAGGATAATTTTTCAAAGGTGAAAGATTGTATTAGAGGTATGGACATCAGAATGGGAGAGAATGTGAAGGCAAAAGCACCTAGTTAAAGCACTTGAATTTGTACAATAGATTTGACCCTTATACTACGTGATGCTGGATGACCTCATTTCTCAAGTGCAAAGAACCCATCTTAATGAGATCTTGATTTGAAATGATTTCATAGCCCCTTTTCTGCTCAGTGTTTACTATGGGCCAATCAGACCTCTATGTTTATGAGGAACAAGGAGAAAGCATAACCAAGAATGAATTGCAGAAATAAGCAAAAGATTGTAGAATTGAAGCACACTTCTAGAGTATACAGGGAAAAGAGTCTCCTTAGATGTAAAAGGTTAAGGAAGAAAAATTTTTTTAATTTCTTCTTTATAAATTGATTTTAAACAAAATTTTGTAGTGGCACAAGACAATGGGACTCACTCTCTGTGACATCAGCTATTGCTTTACAACTCTACATACACCCACCATCCAGCCATGCCTGGTATCTTGATAGAAATGAAGAATTTCCAACCTGACCTCCAGCCTACTGAACCAAATCTCCTATTTAACAAGATCCCAGATGATGTGTGTGTAGACTAACGTTTGAGAGCCTCTGACCTAAATTTGATCTGTTACTTCCCATTACCAAAGGTCATGTGTGGATTGGTTCCTTTCTCTTGTTTATCATTATCATTATCCTACTTTGGATCCTTATTTACAAAACAATTGGGAGTTCTCCTGAAAAGTCACAACAGACTGTTTGCTGACTTGTTCAGTTACACATTTATTCCTAAAACATTTATAGAGACCTACTATGTATGTGTAAAGCCATGTCTGAGTGCTCAGAAGAAAACATTTCCACTTTGAAGAAAGAAAGACAGCAGAGATATGGAAGTAGGAAATCATGAAGGGTTCATGGGGGAAACAATTTTGTTGGAATATTTATGAAGAGTAATAGAGGGAGGATTGGGAACTTCAAGATGAGAATGAACATCCTATTGTGGCCACGTTTTGTCAAGGAAAGTTTTCCCAACTTAGCTAGTGATGCACCAATGGACACATTTCACTCCATCTGTGTACTCCTGCATCATTATCTACTTCACCTTTTACTTTCAATTGTTTCCCTCTGTTCTACTTATGTATGTTTTCATTTTAAAGTAAATTTATTCTAATAAAAATGGAAATCAGTATCATTCACCTCTAGAAGTTAACCATAAAAGAAAGTGTAAATAAGGATTAAAATGAATAATTGATAATTTGAAATATTAAGAGGTCCAAACGTGTAGGGGTGGTGGGATAGGAAGGGGAAAGGAAAGAAGGGAAAGGAAAAATTATGAGAAAAGAAAAAAATGGAAATGAAATCTATGTAAACAGGGAAGGGTGGAGGGGGTGAAAGGTGCACAGGGAATGGGGAAAAAAATAATAACCAAGATTCATCATGTACAGGTACAAGCACCCAATGAGAAATGTAAATGTATTGTATGCCTAAAATGTACCAATAAAAGAATTTTAAAAGAAAGAAGTTAACCATAAAAATGGAACACCAATAAAGTGTTGGTATATGCTGTTGCCCTTTAAGAGATCAGAGCCTGAGCATTAATACTATTTTTGCAAATACAAATTATAAGGAAGTATTAGGGGCTATTAAGGCAAACTAGAAAGAAACTTGACTTTTTACTTGATAAAATCTAAAAAAACCACACATTTTCTATTCCATTCAAACCTCTCTGTGTACATTTCCATTTGTGGCTGCTCTCCACTGCCAGGAATCCATTCTGATGTCAAACATCCATCTCTCTAAAATAGGTCCAGTTTTTTCACCTCCCAGTTCTGATCATTGTACTCCTGGAATGTCTTCTCTCTCTCTAAACCTTGAACAGACCACCAAGTATGTGTCTCAGCAGGTGATGCCCTTCATCCCTCATGTGTACTTGTCCTACCCCTCCACCTATGATTAGGCTTAGAGGCCTTCCTGACACAGCATGAGGACCCTTTGTAGGGAACAGATCAGCTTGTGATGACATGTAAATTATACCCACTAGGGAAACACTGAGGATCCCTCTGAAGTATCAGGAGGCTCTGAAGGTTTTAGACATCGATCCCACAAAGAGCAGCAATAAATCTTCCCACCACAGTTCCCCAGAGCTGTCTTGCAGCAGCTTTCAAGAGGTGGTTTTGCTCCAGAGACCACACTCGGCCCATTAGAGCTTGGCTCACCCAGTCCTGCTCTTTGGTGCCACCTCTAAAGGTGTTCAGCCCAATTAGCAACCGTGGCCTCCCTTAAGTGGTGCAAAGCATTACAAAGCCCGGGAGATTGGAATAAGCAAAGCATTAACAACAGCATGGCCCCCAGGAGGATTCTGTAAAAGGGCCCTCAGTAAAATGCTGGTGTTCTGATTGCTATTTTCCAACAGTACTCACTGTCTCTAATAGTAACAGTTAAAGTTAGAACACTTCCCTACATAGAGGGGCTTTGCTAGATTCAGGACGGCCCTCTTTCACTGCCACACCCACATCTGTGTGCTCCTTTCAGATGTTGCCTCTCTCCATCATTCCTCTGTAGCAACATGTCTTTGCCTTACTTTTTCTCTTCTTTCAAAATATATTCTTTGCAAATTCTTTTCATTTCTTTAACACAGTAGAAAATACCATGAACTCGGAAATAGTTTTATTTCTAGTGTTTACCTGGTTACTGATTTCCCATTTGGTTTGGACATATAATCTTTTACTTAAAAAATATTAACCTAAAGTTTTTCAAAGTATATTTTTTACTCTCAAATGCTCATATTTATTCAGTCATTTGGCCACAATGCCCCCATTTAGACAATTTTCATAAACAGGGATGGAGAAACAGCAGGTTTCTTTGTGTATTTTTGCTTCAAGATACATTTCCATCCAGCTGGCAGGTTCAGAAGTTCCCTTGAGCACAGGCTTGAAACCCAAGAGAACAGGGAGAACTCACTGGAACCAAATCAAAGCTAAGGCTTCAGCACTGGAGCGCCGATTTCCCTCAGAAGGAAACCAAATTCCTTGCCAAGGAAGTTACCAATGCATGCTCTGGAACCAGTCAGAGCTCAGTTCAGCTCTTTACTGCTCTAAGCCTCAGTTTACTCATCTGCAAAATGAGGATACTAACACACCCCAATTCACAGCGTTATGAAAATTAATACCTTGATGTTAAGACCTATCACCCAATAGTGACAGTAAATATTATTCTTACTAAATCTGCAAAGATGCACATCTCTTGAATACACACACACACCCAAATACATGCACCACACACACACACACACACATACACACACATACATCTTAAGGTAGCCAGTTACTTAACCATAAAAATAGGCCAGAAAAATCCATGTTTCTTTTCTTTATGCTCAGACAATGTAGGCTTATGGGACAATACCTATGTGGCCACACCCCTTATCCCCGCTCCTCTGAACACACCTTAAGATCCAGTCAGGCTGGACCACTTGTCAACCACTCAATGCAACCCATGGTTGCTCGGCTCTGTGCCTTTGCTCATTCTGTTTCTCCCTTCAGATTGTGAAAGCCTTCCATGACTGTCTCCTCAGTATGGGGAACAGCTCCCTTTTCTAGACCACACAAGGTAACGTGTGCCACACACATTCTCTTTTGGCTCACAGCATGGTTAAGTGTGCCACTGCTTTCTGGATCCTCTCTATAGTATCAGTCATAGAAGTGAACCATACTACACTCAGGAGGCCAGGCTGAGGGTGAGCCCTTAAAGTGAATATGTCTTTGAAGTGCTAGGTTCTTAGAGAAAATCACAGAGCTTCAATTAGAGGACAGCTCAGGAGAAGGAAAGTCAATTAATAACTATGGCGGGTTGAATTGTATCTCTCAAAAAGATATGTCATGGTCCTAAGCTCGAGAACGTCTAAATGTGACTCAACTTGGAAATAGGTTCTTTCCAGATTTAACTGAGTTAAAATAAGGTCAGACTGGATAAGGTGGGCCTCAGTTAGCATGGGTTTCTTTATTAAAAAGAAATTTGGACACAGACAACCCACGACATTGTGATATAATAAGAAATATCTATTTGGATTTTTTATCCCTAATTCCAATAACAGCAGCTTTTAAACTCCTTGCCATTTCCTGAGTGACGAGAATAAGAACATCTTATTTATAATAAGCACCTTTTACTCAGACCTGAGTTTATGCTAATAATGTGACTTTTGGTGGCCCCCAGATAGCTTCCAGATAGGAAATAGTTGACAGAGGAGCCAGTCCTGTGATTCAAATTTTAAGCGTAGAGCTCTGGGGAGAGGGAAGGGGTTGGAAATAGAGTTAACCACCAGTCACCAGTGGACAGTGATTTATTCACTAGTACCTATATGATGGAACCTCCTTAAAAACTGGTTGGAGACCTTCCAGGTTAGCAAGAACTCTGAGATGCAGGGAGGGGCATGAAAGTTTTAGAGAGAGCAGGGAATCCCACATTCCTTTACTGTATATTTTACACCTCTTCCAGTTAGGTTTTCCTAAGTTATAGCCTTTAGAGTAATCTTGTAAATTTAACTGAAACATTTTCCATTCCAGCAAGTTGTAAGGCATTCTAGCAAATTGTGAGACCTGAGCAGAGGGTTGTGGGATTCTTTCATAGCTGGCCTGCCGTAAGTCAGAGCTATAGGTGGCTGGAATTGTGATTGGCACCTGAAGTGACTGAGCTCTGA